CCTACAGAAGGCCAACAGACATATGAAAACATGCTCAAAGTCACTAATCATCAGAGAGATGCAAATTAAAATAACAAGGAGGTATCATCTCACACCTGTCAGAATGGTTACCATCAACAAATCAACAAATGACAAGAGCTGGTGAGGATGTGGAGAAAAGGGAACCCTGGTACACAGCTAATGGGAATGCCGACTGGTGCAGCCATTATTGAAAACAGTGTGGAGATTCCTCAAAAAATTAAATATGGATCTGCCATTTGACCCCTACGAAACCCAGAGCACCAATCAGAAAGGATGTGTGCACCCCTATGTTCATAGCAGCACAATTTACAACAACTGGGGGGAGGGACCATAGCAGGTTGGCTGGCCAGGTGGAGGGGCCGTGGGAGGTTGGCCGGCCCCCCCCCCTCGGCCCCTATTGTGGGGACCGGCTGGCCAGTGGGAGGGGCTGCAGGAGGTTGGCCAGCTGGCACTCCCCCACACCTGTGGAGGCCAATGGGGGAACCGGCTGGGAGGTTGGCCAGCTGCGGGAGGTTGGCTGTGGAAGCGCACTGACCACCAGGAGGCAGCTTCTGCATTGAGCATCTGTCCCTGGTGTTCAGTGTGCATAATAGCAACTGGTAGAGCGGTTGTTCCAGTTATTCTGGTCCTTCGTCAAAACGGTTACTTAGGCTTTGATATATATATAGATTAGTACAGTTTTGGTAATATTATTATATTTAAAATCTTTTTTCTTAACATATTAATGTTTATTGCATGTAATATTATTATACTTAAAATCATTTTCCTTGAAATATTAGTGTTTATTGCATGTAAAAAATAAAATACAAAATAAAAGAAAGTCATTTCAATAAATGGTGTTGGGAAATGGTGTTTCATAGATACATGCCAAAAAAACTATAAAAGGCTAATATGCAAAGTGTCCCCTCGGGACTTCGACCAGGAGATTGGGAGTTCGATCACTGACTATGACATGCACTGACCACAAGGCAAGGAATGAAGGAAGGCCCCGGCTGGCAGCTGAAAGGCCCTGATAGGCCCTCATCAATGGCCAGGCCTAGGGAACACAAGAATAAACTAAAAATGGATAAAAGACTTAAGTATAACTTGTAAAACCTTAAAAATGCTAGATGAAACCACAGGCAGCAAATTCTCAGACATCTCTTGCAGCATTATGATTACAGATACATCTCCTAGGGCAAAGGAAACTAAGGAGAAAATAAACAAATGGGACTCCATCAAAATAAAAAGCTTCTGCACAGCAAAAGAAACCATCAACAAAAAGAAAAGGCCCTGGTGGTCAGTGCTGTGGGAGCACAGCTCAGCTGACCGGGATGAGCGGCGTTCCCACAAATGGTGGATCCCCACAGGCCACGCCCCCCCAACCAGTGCATGAATCCGTGCACCGGGCCTCTAGTAAAAAAAATAATTTAAAAAAATCAATGAATATTTATTTATAATAATTGGCCTCTGCACCTTTAATTGTGGCACAAATTGTTACTTTTATAAAAATACGTTGTTTTGTGAACTCATGGACATGTACAACAGTGTGATGATTACAGGGGTAGAGGGGGATGGGCAGAGGTGGAAGGGCGTATTTATACTAATAAAAGGGTAATATGCTAATTAGACCGGGTCAACCGGCCATCTTCCGAATGTCCGACTTCCTTCCAGACAAAGCCATGGAGGTGGGGGCCGAGGCAGAGGCAGTTAGGGGCGAGATCAGACTGGCAGGGGAGAGCAGTTAGAGGCAAGATCAGGCTGGCAGGGGGTTAGGGGCAATCACGCTGGCAGGGGAGGGCAATTGGGGGTGACCAGGCCAGCAGGGAAGGGCCGTTGGGGGCAAGATCAGGCCGGCAGGGAAGGGCCATTGGGGGCAAGATCAGGCCGGCAGGGGAGGGCCGTTGGGGGCGAGATCAGGCTGGCAGGGGAGGGCCGTTGGGGGCATTAGGCAGGCAGACAGGTGAGTGGTTAGGAGTCAGTGGTCCTGGATTGCGAGAGGGATCCCAGATTGGAGAGAGTGCAGGCCGGGCTGAGGTACACCCCCCTCCCGTGCACAAATTTCATGCACTGGGCCTCTAGAGTAGAAGGGATAAATGGTGATGGAAATTTTTAAATTAAATTAAAATATATGTGTGTGTTTTTTTGCATTTAAAAAGAGATATAAGATTCAGCTCAAAATTTTAAAACTAGTGGTTCCTTGTAATAAAAAATTTAGGTGTAATTCTTCATAATTTGACTTTCTGAAGATCCTAGAATTTAAATTTTAAAGTAGCCTATCTATATTAGGTTTGGTACCAGATCAAAGGATAATGGCAATGAAAATGTTTTAAGAGAAGGGATGGACTATAAGGAAGGGAAGGGACCCTTACACATCTGAGTGACTGGAGTGGCCCCATGGCAACCCTCTGGACTGGTGGGCACTGAGGGAAGAGGACCCCACCCCCCTCTGCCACCTATCCCTCCACCCGGTCATCACCACCACCGCATATGGAACCCATGGGGCCCTGCAGGAGTTCCCCTTGGGGTCACAGGTCATGACTCCTGACCACTGGCATCCTGGAAGGAGCAGCAGGAGACCTTTTCCTCTTTTCTTCTGTATATTCTAAAATAACATTATACAGTGTTATAGTCAAGTAGTCTGTCTACCTGAATTTGAAGGTCATTTTCCCCACTTACTAGCCATGTCTCTGGCCTCTCTAGGCCTCCATTTACTCATTGGTACAGTGGCAGTTATTGTGAGTCCATCTCATTGGGCAGATTGGCACATAGTAGGTGATTTCTATTCCCTCCTATAAATTCTCACAATGTTGCTGCCAGTTTTGACTAGCAATGAGGGGGGTCTTGGGGTATCATTTTCTTGGTATAACTGCTCTGTGGCCTGGGACTTTGTTTTCTAATTTTGGTGGATATGTGGCTAGTGCTGTGGCAATTTTATGTAGACTATTCAGAGAAGGTTCTGGAATTTCTACATAGACAGGTGGCCATCTTGAAAGAGAAGCTACAGGATTGGTGTTGAACCTATGTCTTCTGTTGGCACAGCCTTTTCCTTGGGTGGGTGTTTGTGGAGTGGGCTGGTCTCGTGCTTACACTTGATAGTTGGCTCCGGGTTTTAATTAGTTGTGTTTATTTGGAGTGCTTTGTGGGACTATGGGAATTTGTGGGCAGGCCTGGCTTGTTGTTTCATACCTTAGTCTACGCAGCAAGCACACAATTTTTATGTGGACTGAATATTTCATAGGAAGCTTTGAGGTTTATGGAAATGGTATATTTGGTACTTTTTGTGCCCTCCTTGGGGTTCATTTTGCTTGATATTTAATTTGGTTGGGTTTAATTTGATTTGGGAAACAGGAAGTGGATTTTTGGCCCGAATTGCAGAATCGACTTGGTTAATGTTTCATTAGGCCAGTTTCAGAAATGTGTTAACAGTTGATAGTTGACGCTGGGGGCAGTTTCAGGTGCAATGCTTGATGCTGTGGCTCCCACCCACCTGGGAAGTCACGCAATGGGTGACCACATGCTTAAGGGATGATCCTGGGGATGAAATACTAGAGAACCCAAGTGGACCTCAGGTCCAAGCACCAACCCACCATGGCTTCATGGGGCCCATGAGTGTGGACAACCACCCCCTCCCAACAATGGCGCAAGTTTCATTTGCATTTCATTTATGACTGAGGTTCCGTATTTACCCCTGTTATTTATATTTTTTTAAGCAAATTGCTTGTTCATGTACTTTGCCCATTTTTGTGATGGATTTGCTTATTAATTCTTAAGAGCTTTTTGCTTATTAGGGAAATTAACCCTTTGTTACGGATTTTTATCCAGTCCCCACCCCCATTCATATTTTATTATATGTGATTTTAATTTTTGTAGGCTCCTCCCTCCCCCTCTTCCCTCCCCCACTTAGGGCTTTTGGATCTTAGGTGATGTTTAGAGTTATAATCTAGAAACCAATATTTTAATTGTAAAAATAGCCATTTTAAAGTATCTTTTTCTATTTAAACATGTAACTGATTCATTTGTGTATGGAATGAGGTAGAGATCCAGCTTAAAATTTTCCCCAATGGCTAGCTAGTTGATTTAATACCAAATCTACTTATTTGATAGCTCTTGGTACCACCTGTTTTGGGGAGATTCTGGGTCAACAGATACACTGAAGTGTAAGTTAGTAGAACCTTTGTATAGGGCAGCGAAGATCAAAGTGTAGCATTATTGATGGGCCTAATGGTTTTTATGGGGCATGGGTTTGGGAGGAGGAGGGGTGGATGTTTTGTATTTTCTGCAAATTGCCTTCAGAAACCCAAAGATTAGGTTAAGAAAGTGGCAAAATTTTATACCCACTTATATCCTTGGGGCCTTGTCACCTCAATGTGGGGCCTCCCAGCTTTTCATCACCACCAACGCCATGAACAACGGCGTTTGCTCGAAACCGCAAATAAGTCAAAGGAGTCCCGAACTGCTATTTTTAAATTTTTATTGATTTTTTAATGCTGCACAAGACAATATTTAATTCATTTAATTCATTTATTTCTTTTATTTCTGTTTGCTGCTGTTAATTTTAGTTACTTAAAGAGAGAGGGAACCATTTTGGCCTTTTTTTCTTTTTCTTTATCTGAAGGCCGCCTTAAGCGTTCTAAATTTGGAATATTTAAGCAAGCTGAAAGGGAAAAGGGGGTTTCGCAAAATCACTCAAGGGGGAGAGGAAAGGTTGCTTTGTTAATCATGCCCTATGGTGGGTGATTAACTGCGTGTACATTTAATTTTTAATTAATTGTGCTTAAGGCTTTAATTAAATTTGGGGGTTCCCTTCTTAGAGCAGCTCATACTGACGGAGGTGCATGCGCTGGATGATGTCGCGGCAGTCGTTGAACACACGGCGGATGTTCTCGGTGTCCACAGCGCAGGTGAAGTGAGGGTAGCAGTAGTGGCGCCCATCTCCACTGGCAGTGCTGATTCTCTGTGGCACAGACAGGGACACTCGGTGAGCACTGCCTCTGCACAAACTCATCCCCCCTCCACTCCCCCAAGGATCCTTGACTAACATTAATTAAAACAAAACCAAGTCAAGGGGCACAAAAGCTAAAATTCACAGGGCAACCCATGAAATGAAACGGAAGTACTGGATAGTTTAATCCCCACGTGTAGAATCAAGTTAATTTCCATCCCTAAGAATAAAAGCAATCAAAGAGAGAAGCAAAGACAGTCCACTCACCAGAAACTCATCGCGGATGAAGTACTTGGCCCGGGTCACGCGTGGGTCCTCTCCGGGCTCAGGAGTCGCTAGGAAGAATATAAATATTTTGTTAGCATATACATGATTGTATACAGAAACAAATATGCCAATGAACTGCAGAGGGTCACGTACCATCCTCAGGAGTAGTGTAGCGAGCAAATTCTGGAAAGTAGTCCTCAATTTTCGATTTTCCAGCAAGGACTTTCTCAGCGAGCAGGTCTTGCTTGTTGAGGAACAGAATCACAGAGATGGTGCGCAGCCATCTGACAAAGAGGGAAGCAGGGTTAAAGCCCAGTAGAAGAGCATCTCTCCTTCGGGGGCTTGAGATGCTTTCCCAAGGGCTTGGACAAGATTCTGCTCTAACGCAAGGGCTGGACATCAGTCCAGGCCTCCTGGGCAAGTGGCCGGGAGGGAACCTGAGGGTTGCTCCACCAACCTGTTGTTCCAGATGCTCTTGAAGAGGTTCAGAGCCTCCTGCAGGCGGTTGGTCTGGTTGTCCTCCCGAATGACCATGTTGTAGCTGCTGCTGGCCACCACGAAGATGATGGCAGTCACATCTTTAGCACAAGAAAGCAAGGCAATACGTGTCAGAAGCAAAACGGTCCTTCACAATGACAAAAGCAGAGAGTCCTTAGACAGGAGAGAAGACGCTTCCCTACCATTGAAGCATTGAATCCATTTGCGGCGTTCGTCACGCTGGCCGCCCACGTCAAACATGCTGTAAGAGAAAGGACCCCTGGTTACTCTAAAGGGCAGGACACCATTATCTGTTTATCAGAAAGACAACCCATTCACTTACTGGAAGTTGACTTTGTCCACCTGGAACTTGGTCTCAAAGATTCCAGAAGTCAGGACACGGCAGCGAAGCAGGTCCTAAAACATAACCAAGGTCAATGGGTCTCACCAAAGCCAACCGAAATGTTAAAAATCGCCAATCTAGGGCAAAACTCTTGGAAGCTTGAGAACGTGTGTACCTGATCGCTGGGGACATAGTCGTCCTGCTTGATGACATCAATCTTGTCCAGGAAGCTGGGAGGGAAAGGAGGACACAGGGGGTGTTGAGTGTCATGCCAATTTGCCCAATATTCCCGCCTCCATACCAGGCCAAGCTAATGGAAATGATCACCCCGCAGTTAAATCAATGGGAATTCTGCTTGTGTTGGTTACACTGATGACTTGAAGCTTATACCTTAGAGCGGTTAGAGCAAACGGAATTGAAGATAAATGTATTTGCTGACCAGTAGATCTGGGAACCAGGACTGGGCTCCCAGGACCCCTGGCCTACAGCTGCAGTCTGAAGTCAGGCCTAGCAGACAGTGTGCCTTTGATAATATCTAAGTAAAAACATTTTAAATGTGAAATTGTTTGGCTTTGACTAAATCAGCGGGTAATTTGAAAATCGTATACTTTGGCATCTCTCACTTTGGGTTTCCTCCACGAGCGAATGAAAGTGAAATGTTTGAGTTACTCAGAAGGGGTATCCCTTCCTCCTGCCTTTTAAGAACCTCGATAATGAAAGAGAACAAAAGGGGTTGGCACACAGGGGCCCTTTGTGCCCCGACCACACTGAACAGGAAACACGCACAGTGTGTCCTTCCGGTCTGTTTGGTCCATGAAACAGGACAGTCCAGATATGAAATTTGTAGTTTTTAAAAAAACCTCAGGGCCACCCGGGTTATGGGTCCTGACACGGCAGGGAGCAGGCACAGGGGGCTGGGGTCTCAGGGACTCCCATTAGTGGTCACTCTCTCCCCAGCTGAACTTACTGCTTTTGTGTTGCTCAACTAGAAACACCGTTAGGAAAAATAACTTCTGAAAGATTGGATTAATTTAATTAACGTTTAGTTAAACCCAGCGTTTTGTGTTTTTTGGGGGGGAGTCGGGTGGGGGGTGGTTGGAAGTGCTGCAAGTGGCTAATCAGAAAAGAAAGTCCAAAGGGGGGAAAGTCTATTTAAAGAAGTTCTGTAAGTTTTCCCCCTTCCTTTTTACCAGGTTAGAGTTAGTCTGGCTGGAAGGATACACTAACTTGCCCAATCAGTCTTACATTACAGCACCAGTCCAGAAATAGCTCCCCAGCCGCCCTGGCCTCCAGCGTGTTGCCATGGCAACAGAACCACAGTTCTATAAATAGCTCAGCAGCACCAAATCTTGTGAGAGAGACAGCTGGAGCAGGGCCAGGCCAAACCCCAGCTCAACAAATAAAAATAGGCAGCTTAAGAAATGGGCAAGGCACCACTACCTCAACTTTAAATGAACACAAAGGCAGCGGGGCAGTTCACTGGTCAGTGCTGACCAGGGCTTCGGCGTCCTCCTCCAGGAAGACATGTTACAAGCTATGTCCTCTTTTCCCAAGTTTCTTAAAACTTTCCATAAACTGGGGATGTTGCCACTTTCTTCTGAAATTGCAGGAGTACTTTAATGTTGCATTAAAAAAGAAAAACTTTGAGTGGGTGGGGAGAGGTCAATGGGGGAAATAGGAGACATATGTAAAACTTTCAACAATAAAGAATTAAATAAAAGAAAAAAAAAGAAAAACTTTAAGATGGTGGAAGATTAAAAAAACACAACAAAGCAGCCCAAACTGCTGTTAAAGCGGCTGTCCCGCCTTGCGGGCGCACTCCGGGGCCTGTACCTGTCCTCTGACTTGGATCCAGGGCACAACCAGAAACAATTCCAGGATTTCCATTTGTTTTTCGTTACTATAATTAGCACTTCCAGCTTTTAGTTCAAACTTTTGAGAAACTCAGGGGCTTTGTTGAAGAAGGGGTGGGGGTCGCAGGGACTGGCCAAGATGGGACTGTTTTTCTGTCCGTTGTGAAAATATACAAACTTGCTTGTCTATTAAACCCTTTGCAATAGCAAAGCAATTATCAGCTACCAAGGAGGGGGAGTGAGGGGGAGGGTGGAAGGTGGGCGGCGGCATCATTTTGTCATGTTTTTAAATTATAGCAATAAAGTAAAATATTTTTACATTATCCAAAGTGTGAGAGCTGCCCTGTCTACCTAATGCCTGGAGATCTAGCCAATTAATGACTTTAAGCTCATTAATTATAAATGTCGCCTTATTGCTAATAATGATCATTTTAACAGGCATTAATTATTTATATAAAATAATGTCACTGCACTAAAAAGTGCAATTAAGGGCTTTGAAAGCCAGTGAATGAGAAGCACTCTGCGTGCAGGTGGGGGCAGCTGGCCGGCCACCACCAGCAGGGCTCATTGACAAGCGACTTGGTGTGGACTGTGACCACTCCCTCAGTGTGTGCCCATGTCGTGCTGATGTGGCGAGGTCACTTACTACTGGGCACAGTCAATCAGCTGGTACTCGTTGGAGCGCTCATAGCAGGCTCGGACGCCCTCGTCCTCCCAAAGAGCCTTGGCGTGCTCGTAGAATTCCTGCAGGGGGCACAAGAGAGGCCGTCAGAGGCGGAGCCTGCACCCAGGGGCCCGGCAGAGCTCTAGGGTGCGAGGGATTCAGGGTGACACAACTCATGGCTTTTTCTCTCATAGATTTTTGGTGTGACGGGTACTTGTGGGGGTGGGAGAGCCAAGATTTATAAGGGGTGACAGAATTTTGCTCATTCATCTTGAGCCATGCCCTAGTGATTCTTAGTGGCTTTTTGTTTTTATTTATTTTTTCATATATTTTTATTGAATTCAGAGAGGAAGGGAGAGAGATAGAAACATCAATAATGAGAGAAAAATCATTGATCGGCTGCCTCCTGCACGCCCCCTACAGGGGATCAAGCCTGCAACCCGGGCATGTGTGCCCTTGACTGGAATGAACCCAGACTTTCAGTCCGCAGGCCGACGCTCTATCCACTGAGCAAACCGGCGAGGGCAATTTTTTTGTTTTTAAATATTAAGGATCCTTATGGAATTAACTCTTCCCTAAGAATCACTGATGTGTTCGGCAGGACAAGGTGTGGCTCTGCAACAGGTGAGCCTGTGTCACCTGGAGCTCTATGTACCCCAAGGGGAGGCGCGGAGCACTGCGGGGCGGGGCAACGCTTACGGGAGGGAAATCAAAGTCGGGCACGTTCATCACACTCAGAATGTAGTCCACGCGGAACTGGTTCTCGGGGTTGGCCAGCTCCACGGGCGGCACCAGGTTGCTCATGGCGGCCACAATGGTCTGAAAGGGATTTAGCAGGCGGTCAGGGGCAGTTCTGTCTGACAGGGGGGCTAACAGAACGAGAAAGAACTGAGCACATACTTCAATGGCCTCCTTCAGGTTGTTTTTGATGTCCTGCACTTTGGTGGCCTTCTCACTACAGTGGGATTGAAAAGGAAAAAAAAAATCATATGGCATCATGTTGCCTAACAGGGCCGTTTTAGTCAAGACATTCCACTAAGGATAGTATTCTGTTCTTGAAGGAGTGGGTGGAGGGTCCCGAATAAAGGGGGTCTCAAATGACCACCTCCCAGCTCTGTCTGGAGGCCATGCCCGATTGGGCTCCATCAGCAAATTGGCATCTAGGTAGTGACCAAGGCCTACTGTACCAGAGGTTGTACCCTGTCCATTACTCCCCTCACAGGTGGTCCTGTTTGCTCCAAGCCCCCACCACACACTAGCACGGCCTCAGTGTTGGCATCTCTGCTTGGGGAGAGGGGGGCGGGGGAGGGGCGGGGGCGGGGCATTGTGTGGCCAGGGAGAAAGTTTCATGGTTCCACTTGGGGCTTCCTCCCACTGGCAGTGGCTGAACGAGGTGGCCCCGTTATTCCCACCTCAGGGCTTTTGCAGCCCTGGTCGTTGACTTGTTTGCTTGATTGTTTACTTATTTAAATAGTCATTGTGTCTGTCACTGCAGCCAGCAGCAATGATTGGTTGCTAGTGCTGAGCCTCTGATGTGGACAGGATGGAGACTGCCCCAGAAGTCTTTTATGACCCGGGACTTTTGCACTGGGGGGTGGGGGGTGGGGTGGGACAGAAGTTAGAAGCCTTGTTGCTTTACACTCTTGATTTTAATTTGGACCTACATAATGGCCTCATGGAATTAACTCTTCCCTAAGAATCACGGAGATGTGTTCCTCAGGACACAGGTGTGGCTCTGCCACAGGTGAGCCTGTCACCTGGAGCTCTGTGTACCCCAAGGGGCGGGGCGAAGCACTGCAGGGCGGGGCACAGCTACGGGAGGGAAATCAATGTGTGGAATGATCCCGTCCTCCCTCGCTGGTAAAGGCCACGCCCTTGGGCTTCTGGGTACCCTCCCCCAACCCCCCTGCATAGCCTGCACCCCATTAGGTCAATTAAAATGCTATCTTTCCAAAACTGCCCTTCACTGGAGGCTGGGCCCGCGTCCTTTTAGGGGAAAGGGCCCCTGGCTTGGGGCATAAACCGTGCCAGGTCCATTGCCCCCATCCTGCCTCTGGGCTTGGGGGGCGGGTTTGGAACCAAACACACCCGTGTATTAGACCCAGGGACATGACTGAGGAGGAAACTGAGGCAGAGAGGGAGTCTGAGTCCCGCAGAAGGGACAGAGCTTATTTCTCCTGCTGTAACTTTTATAAGAATTTCTTGAGATGTCCTATCTTTGAAGCCTTCACCTGGTTGCCTCGCCCAGAGTCAGGGGATGGAGGTGGTGACCCCTCAGGAGGAGAGGACAGAACACGAATAGAGGAAATGCAAAGGGGTTAATAGCAGCCAGTCCGCCAGTTAGTGTGGGAGGGAGGGGCCTGGGGCAGGGAGCTGAGGGGGCCGTGTGCTCTTCTGCCAACAGCCTGCCCCCAAGAACATGGTCTTTTCTGTCGTGTTATATTCCCTGGTCATTTGCATGTGAGGGATGGACCCTCATCTTGAATGAGCTCATGGTGCCCCCTCCCCAGAATCACCGCTTCCTGTTCAGCTGGCCTTGGAGACCCTGTTCCTTCACAGGGCGGGGCTGCGCGCTGCG